CCAGGTATTGAAGTACTTTGTGATTTGGCTTCATTGCCATCATTATCATCATCGACAGCAGCAACAGTTACCTCATCATCATCATCTAAAAGTACGGAATCATATATTTAAATAATTTATAATTTAGTATTAATTAATTATTATAATTGGAATTAAGATGTTAATACAAAGATTTATAAACCAATCCGATTGCCAATTATTACCAAGAATCAAGCTTTTGAAATTATTCAATATTTTGAAAAGGCTCCTTTTGGACAGGGTGATAAGACAATTTATGATGAAACAGTGAGGAAAACATGGCAATTGTCTCCCTCACAATTCAGAATTACAAATCAACATTGGAAGCAATATATAGATAATTTGGTGGAGAAACAAGTGAAACCTGGACTTGGCATTCATTCGAGTGTTGTTGTTCGAAATAGTTTGTACAAATTATTGTTATATGAGGAAGGAGGACACTTCGATTTTCATAGAGATACAGAAAAGGAAGACAAAATGTTTGCCACTCTTGTGGTGCAGTTGCCATCTCTTTATTCGGGTGGTGAAATTATTGTTCAACATGCTGATTCAGAGGAAACTTATGAGTTTGCTAAAGAAGGTTCATCTAAACCTTTCTTCTTTAGTTTTTATTGTGATTGTAACCATAAGGTGGCCAAGTTGACCAGTGGATACAGATTATGTCTAGTTTATAATGTTTGTTATGCTTCTGGAATCAAGCCAACAGTTGTAGATCGATCAGCACATTTTGAAAACTTGAATTCAATTGTGGAAAACTGGGATTCTGAAACACCATTCTTGTGCTACCTCTTGGAACACAAATATTCTGAAGAAGGATTGAAATACGATTGCCTCAAAGGAAGAGATAGCAATCTAATGCAACTTCTCCAACAATACAATGCCAAATATAACAGTATTGGAATTAAGCTTGGTATAATGAGAAAGCAACAAGATGGTGGAAGTGGTTATAATAATTTCTGGACAGAACCAAGTTTTGCCATCACTCATGTTGTGGGTGAGCAGGGAAATGAGGAAATCAAAAGAAGATTTAAAATCTCCAAAAACATTATTATTCCAGAAAATATATTGGAAAATCTTGCAGTTTCAAAGAGCGAGGTAAGTTTTAAAAGTTTAAACAATATATTTATTGAGAATTTTAACAGTTCGAAGGACATACAGGTAATGAAGGAGCAAGAGCAACGAGGTGGTATAGCAGTGCGTGCATTTTAATTAGTCCAAATCGTTTCAAACATTTATTGGCACTGGAGATTGGAGAAACAGAATCTTTGAAAGAACTTGAAAATATGTGGACACGGTACGAGCAAGATCCATCTCTTTTGGATACAGTTACAGATTTTGTTACAAGGTTTTTGCGAAACAAATATTTTAAAAAAACCCTGGTGACCAAGTATGTCATTAAATTGAATAATACCGAGCTAGCCAAAGATTTACTGAGAGTTTCCTCGAGTGGCAATAACTTGGATGCTGAGAGTTTAGTTTCATTGATAAAAGCATTTGGGTTGGAAACATATAGAGAGAGGGTAATGGATCTTTTGGTAAAATGCAAAGCCAATCTTGCCTATGGATTCTTACAAGANATAGAGGATGAGGAGATGGCAGAGAAGGTCATTTCTTTTTTTAGTGTAAAAGGAGGGGCCTCGAGCTATGAAAGCATTGTTTTAC